GGATCTGGTCAAATAGATCCTGAAGACTGCTGAAGAACTGAAGAAGGAGAAATATACAAAGAGCAAAGTGTAAAGGTTATCTGTAAAGTAAGACGGCCAGCAACAGCTAGACTAACAACTAGTCTCTGAAATGAACATATTTTACTGAAAAAAGTTCATAGTAAAAAAAATAAAATATAATGAAAAGGAGCCCTGAGACTTTCTTCATTTTCAGAGACTAAACAAATCTGCAGAGGGATAATTTCTTGGAATTTCACAACACATGCAAAGATTCTTATCACCCATTACTGCTTTAATTGTGTGTGACAGGAATATTTACTGCCCCCACCACCTCCAGGTCCTACTGCCAGTTGTGTGGGCCGATTTGGGGTAATGAGTATCAAGTGTCGCCAAATCTATTTTGAGAGCAGGCAGGGATACCAGCTAAGGGTAGCATCTCTTGATATTCCTATGGCTGGACAACTGGATCTCAAAAAAAAATAATCCAAAGTTATTTATATTCTCCAAAATCCAAAGGTTGTGACTGCACTATATGTGGAAATTTAATTGATGTCGCATATATATAATGTAACAAGCAGAAAGTGTCATCAATATCCCCCGCAGCATCCTCATAGCCACAGCCTCCATGAAAAGTTACGTTTCCACGGAAACCGGAAAAATAAAATTCATATCTTGGTCTAAACCCCAAAAGGCACATCTATGGATCATACTTGACATATGTTCCAAGTTTGATGAAGCTTGCATGTATAGTTTGGAAGATCTGCTCCGGACAAGATGACTGACTGAGTTGGTTTTACGCCGCTTTTAGCAATATTCCAGCAACATCACGGCGGGGGGACACCCGAAATGGGCTTCACACATTGTACCCATGTGGGGATTCGAACCCGGGTCTTCGGCGTGACGAGCCAACGCTTTAACCATTAGGCTACCCTACTGCCCCCCCGGACAAGATGACATCCTCATGGTCACAACAGCCTAAGTCACGTTTCCATGGAAACCACAAAAAATAAAATTCATATCTGGGTCTTACCATCACATGGCACATTTATCGATCGTGCTTGATATGTGTACCAAGTTTGATGAAGCTAGCATGTATAATTTAGGAGCTTTGCTTCGGACAAGATGACATTCTCATAGTCACAGCCTAAGTCATGTTTCCATGGAAACAACAAAAAATAACATTCATATTTGGGTCAAACCCAAAAGGCACATGTAGGGATCATGGTTGACATGTGTACCAAGTTTGGTTAAGCTATCACGAATAGTTTAGGAGATATGCTTCGGACAAAGCGTGACGGACGCACGGACGGACGGAACTCGTTTCTATATTCCCGCAAATTCGTTGTTGCGGAGGATAACAATATGCCATCAGATCCCCATGACAATGTCTTTTTAAAGTTTATGGATAAAGTCACAAATGCCTACATTGTTGAGGTACACTGCTTTGAGCCTAATGATTTATATTTCTCTGTTTGTCTCTTCATCATGCAAATCAAGGATGACACAAAAACAACAGTAGCATGGCTTGTATTTTCTACTGACTTGTCTGAATTGGGAGAATTTCGAATGTCCTGGATGGAGAACAAAACAACACATCTTCACCACTTAAGTACTTTTCAATCATTGTATTCTGATTTGGACGAATGCTGTGTATATTTGCTTTCATCCTCATCAAAGTTCCAATTCATTTTTTACCCTGAGATGGAAAACTTTTCGAAATGATCCCCTCTCCTCGCCAGTGTAAAATGAAACAGTTAAAGAAAATACTCAGATTTTATAAGTCATCAGGTCTCTAGTGTAATCACACATGTTGTTTGTCTGGGGTGAGAGGACAGGCAGAAGCAGGAGGTCTTGGCTCAGTGTGGGGTCTTGGGGAGAGGTGGGGGGAGGCTCCCCATGAGTTAATATTAAACACTAGTGACAGCTAGAGATCAACTGATAATTACAAGCCATATTCTGGCTTGTGAATTCAGCAGATTGGTACAGACCCTGAAGCTGAGGAAATCTAGACTTGCCACATTTTCTAGACTTGTGTGGGCTTTCTTGGATATATTTGCTTCAGGGTCTGTACGAGAGACTAAGCAACAGCCTGAAGATTGGTTTTAAGAGGAACCGGGCTATGGATAATACCCTGCCTCACGAGAATAGAAGCACCGCCATTGGCTTTATCGCCTGGAGGTGAGAATGAATGGAATGAATTGTACTGGCGCAGCTCAAATTAATCAGTACTCTTCAGATATTTCTCTTGTAAACTAAACGCCGATGGTGTAAAATCTTGTGACAATAATTGTAGATCGTTAAAATTGTTCCCGAGGCCTCTGCAATTCCATTGTAATAACTTCATAAACATGTTAGGGAGCTTCAACTGGAGATCGTGAGCGCATGGGACTCCTACACCCTGTGTGTGAGTGAGTGATCTCTATAGCAAGTGGCTCAAATGAATTTTGAACCGTCACAGGAGGTGTCAACGAAGGAGACTCTTCCAAATGTTGAAGAGTCCTGTTCTTTCTTCTTAACTTTTTCCTTTCTTTATTTGAAAGGTGGGCAACACTCTGTGTTTCCTGAGTCGAATTGACATCGTCTGGTTGCGTTTCCTCAGTCTGAGAGGCTGATGTGCATTGATGATCGTTTGATATTTTATCATTGTCATCTAAGGTTATTGGATCAGCATTCAACCAAGATATAACAGTGTGACATTCAGTTGAAACTGAGTGAGATTTAGGAACAGGTGTCGGAGCAGAGGAAGTAACTGCGGCTGAGTATGTTGGACCGGTAGAAGATTTGGATTGGGCATTAACTACTTTCTTCGCTTCAAAGTATGAGACGTTGTTTGTACATTTGATTTTAAGAATTTTGGCTTCATGTTCAAACTTCGGGCAAGATTTTGATGATGCCAGGTGGTCACCACTGCAGTTTGAGCATTTTATGGTTTTATTGCAGTCAGTACTCTCATGACTTTCACTGCAGCGGGAGCATACAGATTTACCGTTGCAAGACCTTGCACAATGGCCACTGCAGCGGATTTGGTACATATACCTCCACTCAGATGTTACAGTATCCAGCTTTAATGGATTTGGGACGTGTAGTCATACAAAACGTGAAAAGATATGTGTTTGTTTTCACTATGTTTGATTCTTGTTTTTTAGTAAAACGCTTCACCATAGTAACGACTTGGTCCTTCAGCTCTGCCACAATCTCCTCTTCGGTCATATCCGACAGACAACGGGACCTGTCGCTTACAATACCTCTGCAAGTGTTGAGAGTCTTATGCACTGAGACAACAACCTGTTTGTTTACAAACTGCTGTAAGCCCAACAGATTGACAGATTGCTGACGCTTTGCACATTCAACCAAGAGTGAACCATTTCGGAGGCGAGTGACTTTCTTTACTTCCCCGCAGACACCTTGGATGCTCTTTGATACGGCAAAGGGATTGATATTTAATGGACTTCCATCATCAGTTGCAATAACCAAAACCTCGGCCAGGAATCATTCAATAAAGGGGATACACCTTCATCAGATGACGACGAAAGGTGTCTCCGCTTATTTGTTTTCGACGAACCAGAGTGTGTGTTGTGAGCCATGGTATAATAATAATGTTCGACAACCCTGCTCCCCACCCGCCATCGAGTGTCAACAAGGACGATGTTGCAGTGGAAACCTGACTGCAACACCAGGGCTACAGGGATGTTATACTCCAGAAATACAGACATAAATAGCTGAAAATTCTTAAAGATCACATGCCAGGCTGGTTCGGCCCATGACATTTGTCTCAAGAAAATCAGTTTTCCGAGATCCATATCACCAGATTGGCCCATGAGCCACCGCCTTCTGGCATAGGACTCTAGGCAAGTTAACGTATAATTAAATTGTAATCGTGAAATCGAAAAGGCCAATACCCTCAAAATGAGAAAATGTGCAAATATATATCCACCATGTACAGGGCTTGACGTGACCAGCCGATTCATAGAACCGGGCCAGTTCTACCACCCGTCTAGGTGAAGTAAGTGGCGAAGTGGTGTGTTGGGCAACAGGAACACCTGATCCTGGTTCCTGTGCCCTCAACCACCAGCCTCCCGTCCTCCACCGACACAGGGGCGCAACCCACGGCAAACGGGTTGGTGGACCAAATATACCCCCGGGTCCACAACGGGGGGTTGAAGAGCGCTTAGCGTTACCCAGCACCCACCACGAGGAGGTGGCTCTTCACGGGTGCCTAAAATACTGGAAGATTTTATATCCAATAATGACTTGTGAATGAATGAATGAATGAATGAATGAATCTCTTTATTTCCTCCAGATTATATTCCGAAGATCATTATAAACATGTACATGAAATATTTACAGCAACATAATCACAGCAATATATTCACAACACATTCATATAGTCATATATATGTACAAAGAAAAGATGAAAGGTCTAGAATGCACAGTTTAGTGAGGGAAGCAAGGAATATAGGTATTTACAGAAGAGGACAATCATACATCTCCATGACATTTCATCAATATCGTTAGTAACTAGTAGTTCACCCCCAGAAAATAGTGATAACATTTCATCTTCACATAATAATTCTATTTGTACATAAACATCCACATCAAAGAGATCTATAAGTTTTGAAAAGAAATCATTTCTGTTATACATATAGTGTTCACAGTGTAAAATTATATGGCAGTCATAATCATTACAATATCTTTTGCAGAGTTCACAATGTTTTGAGAATTTTCCCCTTGAGCTGATTTGTACACAAAACTGTAATGTATCTTTAAACTGTGGGTAAAAATACATCAAACAATACAATCTATGTACACCAAAGAAATTGTGGGTCAAGCGATATCTATTCATATCGTGCCTTACACACACGTGAGAAATCCATCGTTCAGTTTCAGATTTATTTATGCAATTAATAGTTATTCTTCGCCATGACGATTTACATGGAAACCTTCCAAAATCGAGATAGTCACTAAGATAATTGAAGAGATTGTATTTTAAACTGGTTTGAATAAGTGTGTCACATATACTGTGTAAGACAACTGTTCTGTTTTGAAAGGTGGCTAAATGTACACAGAAAATATCCTTAAATGAAGAGTTACACTTGCTGATGCACAGCTTGCCGAGAAATAATAGTCTACATTTATCTATATAACCATCCAAGCTCCACAATCCAAGGTTACCTAGCACTGAAGCAGAGGAAAAGCGCTTACCGAAACCCTGAATGCATCTGGCAAAATATCTCTGTGTACTTTCTACCCAGTCATAATCTTTACCTCGAAGAATGGGTAAAAGTTCACAACCGTAAAAGCTCGTTGGAAGTATAATTCTTTTCCATATTTTAACAGAAGAAGTAGGGTGGAGATCTTTACCATTTAAACCAAGACTTTTTAGAGAATTTACAGATTGTCGTGCTTTCTGGCAGTATGAATATACTCTAGATTTGGGGGATAGATCAGACGAAAGTAAAATGCCTCCATACTTAACACAATCACTTATTGGTATTTCTGAATCATCAAATTTGAAAGAATAATTACCCAGACGTTTCTTATATTTGCAGAAAATGACACAAGTGCTTTTAGAACCGTTATACGTTAGACGCCACTTACAAGCATAGCTGTAAACAGTATCAAGTGATGATTGAAGACCTTTTGGAGAGGTGGAAGCAAGTGTTGTGTCGTCAGCCAATAGAATACATGGGATATTAATGCCACTTACACAAATGCCCTTGTTCAAATCTCTAAGTTCACATATCAAATCATTAATAAAAACAAGGAAAAACCAGGAAGACAAGACTCTACCTTGCCCAACACCTTGCTTGATAACATATTCATTTGATCTCAGACCACAATATTGCACAAAAGCAGAGCTTGATGTATAACTTTGATATAGGAGCTGCCACATTTTGCCCTTTATACCCATTTGATATAGCCTTAAAAAGAGTCCATTATGCCATATGCGATCAAACGCCTTCTCATTGTCCATAAAGGCTGTATAAACTGGAGAACCTCTGCTTATATAATATGATAAGCTTTCGTTTAGAGTAAAAACTGAAGTGGTTGCTCCATGTTCCTTTCTAAACCCAAATTGGAGCTTGTCTGGAAATGAGGGTATGTATTCTTGTACCCAGATTTCTAGTCTAGCCATAAGAGTTAGAGTTATTCCTCTATAATTTTTTGGATCATTTTTCGCCTTTTTACCTTTATATATTGGGATAATTACACCTCTTCTGAAGGTGCTAGGGACATATGCAGATCCTAAAATAGAGTTAAAAAGTGCCGTTAATGTATTTACGATGTCATCGCCACCATAAATAAGATGTTCATTGTGAATACAGTCCGGGCCAGGGGATTTATTTTTGTGGAGATTACTGATATGTTCCTTTACTTCATCACTTTCAATATGTTTACATAAAATATCTTTTTGCATGAGGAATGTTTCTGGCTTATATTTCTAACCTTCCTGTTATTAGAAAGTTGCTATCAAATAATGGAGAGTAATGAGGTTTGGCGAGATCTGCAAAGTAATCACCCCATAGTTCACAAATATCTTCTGCTGTGTTTGCACATTTATGACCAAATACTAGCTCTTTAACAACTGGACTCTGTCGCCTCATTTTGCGAACTGATTTAAAGAAAGTACCTATATCAGCATCGGAGCACCTTTCTAATTCGCTACTTAAGTCTGACCGCTGTTTCCGTTTAGACTTACGATGTAATCGTCTAAATTCCCGCTTAGCTGATTTGTAATTAATATACAAAGGCGAGTTACCTGTCCTTGGTTTACCATCAACCAACCACTCGCGTCTAGCTACACGCATATTGTAATGCAAATCGTTTAGTCCGTCTGATTTCCAGTATGGCTTTAAATGTGCTTTAAAAACACCCGATGGAATACACCGGGAACTGGCGGATTGTAAAGCATTTATAACATTACATGTGTATGATTCAATTTCATGGGGAGGTAGGGGATGAGAGGGGATAGTAATTTCTGAGAGAAGTCGGGAACTCTCCTCGCTCTATACGTTAATGTCACATTGGTCAGCTTTATGCCATTTTGGAAAATAGAGGCTATCAGATTTGCTTACATGTTCCTGTTGTCTAGATACAGTAGCAAGACATGGGTAATGGTCAGATACAGCGTAGCTACAATCACCCATTACACAACAATAGGCAAGCTGATCGGTCAGGTGTGACGGGAGGAGTATGTAATCAATGAGCGATTTAAATCTGCTGTCCTTACTTCTAAATGTATGGTCAGGCCCATGGTTGCGTAATGTACTAACATCATGTATAAGATGCCGTTCTGTGATATAGTTATAAAGCACACTATCACATCGGGATAATATGTTTTTACAGATATCTGCATTGAGGTCACCCAGTATAAAAGTATCACCCTTTTGACTAAGGATATCATACATATCAAAGAGTTGTTCAACTGCATCTACATACACAGAGTGCAGAACATTAGTAGAAGGAAGTCGGGAAGATATTACATACATATCAGGATATCCATGTGCATATACAACTGCAGCAACAAAAAATTCTGTCTTGGTTGCAATTCTGCGCAGCCTCCAGGTGGACTTATTGTTACGCAGTATGGCAACACCGCCAGCACCTCGAGAAGAAGTTGTTTTGTTACATATAGATGAAATGAGTGAAAAACCATTAATATCATTGAGACTGCGGACATTATCTGGATTGAGCCAATGTTCTTGCACAGCAACAATATCAACATCATCTGGAATATTATTGACAATATCTTGACAATCATGTGTTAAGCCACGAAAATTCCATGATATTAAGCTTAAAGCCATGATATATAGGGAAACAAGGAGAAACTTACTCATTTTGATATGAATATCCATTATCACTATATTGCCAATAATTGTCCCGTTTCCTCTGTCGTGGTACATAGTCACGACATGTGATGTCAGCTGGCCAGAGGTTATCGTTCGTATCACCAGTGTAGTCGTCACACGTCATATTGACCTGCACTGTGAAGGTATCTGTTCCGTCATAGTATGAGCGCTTGCGTAGCAGTCTTGTGTACGTCACATGCACATATCGAGCATGTGCATAGTCGTGAATGAGCTGTTTCACACTGTCAAACGGTTTATCGGCCTTTATGTTAGATAAGACTACACGTTTAGTCTTTATCCTTGGTACACCTTCCAGCGTAGAGTAGGTTTTCGCCAGGGATTTTATCTGGTACGTTGTAGTTGTCTGTGGTTTGTCTGCGCGTTGATCCTGGAGAGTGTGGTGAGCTTGTGCTGTATGTTGTACAGAATGATGAGGCTGTACTTCTTGGGTCGTATCCATGTCCCCTTGAAACACAAGACCATGGACATTATCTGCATAGTACTTCCTCAGTTTATCCCTGTCAGAGAGATCAACCATGTTAGACATCTTATACAAGATGGAAATTTCCCAAGGCAGACTGGTCCTTATTTCAAACTTTATGCACATCAAAACTAAGGCCCGAATATTTCAGTGATATAACTGATCCTATTGAGTTTATTCTGACGTTTTAAATGAAATAGCTGATGAGTGTATACCAAAGTCCTCCACATGTACGGAAACCATGGTTTAATACAGGTTGTAGGCAAGCCAGAAAAGCGAGGAAAAGGGCAGAGAACTATTTCCGCCATCACCCAACTGTCCATAACTTAAATAAATTTAAAATACTCAACGCAAAGGCACGTCGTAGCTTCAAACAAAACAAACGCCAATCTTGGAGAAACTATGTTTTCAAAATTAATTCACGTACGCCAATGTCCAGAGTATGGAACATGGTTCAAAGAATTAAAGGCAAAGGTTAAAAATCTGCTGTTCACCATCTTAAAGATGGCGATAATTTAATAACTGACAAATCTCAAATTGCAGATAAAATTGGCGAAACTCTTGCCAAAAATTCATCATCGGCAAATTATGTCCCTGAGTTTCAGAGATATCAGAAACAACAGGAAAAGACAAAAGTTAATTTCGAATCAAATAATGGTGAAGACTATAATGGACTGTTTTCATTACATGAGCTATATACAGCTCTTGAGCAAGCTCATGACACTGCAGCGGGTGATGACAATATTCATTATCAGCTACTGAAACACTTACCTGAACCATGTCTGGTCACACTTTTAGATATATTTGACAAAATATGGACGTCCGGAAATTTTCCTCCCTCGTGGCGTAATGCCATTGTAGTCCCAATACCAAAACCTGGCAAGGATCATACAGATCCGTCAAATTACAGACCAATATCTCTAACTAGCTGTGTCTGTAAAACTATGGAACGTATGGTGAATAATAGATTAACTTGGTATCTTGAAACCAATAACCTTATAACAAATATTCAATGTGGTTTCAGGAAAAATCGTAGTACCATTCATCATTTGGTACGCTTAGAATCCTTTGTTAAAAATGCTATAGTAAATAAACAACATGCTGTATCAATTTTCATTGATCTTGAGAAAGCTTATGATACGACCTGGAAGCATGGCATTTTGAAGGATTGACATGATTTCGGTTTGAGAGGCCGTTTGCCTCTTTTAATATCACAGTTTTTAAAAGACAGACAATTTCAAGTCTGAGTGGGTTCAACCCTGTCTGATCATTACAATCAGGATCAGGGTGTCCCTCAAGGCAGTATTTTGTCTGTCACTTTATTTAGTATCAAAGATCAACAGTTTATCCAAGATTTTAAACGATTCAATCGATGGATCACTTTTTGTGGATGATTTTAATATTTCTTGTCGTGGTAAATATATGCATACTATTGAACGGCAATTGCAGTTGTGTTTACATCAAATAAATAAATGGTGTCTTGAAAACGGCTTTAAATTGTCCAAGTCTAAAACTAATTGTCTACACTTTTGTCGAAAATATAAGCCGCATAAAGACCCGGAACTATCTTTAACTGGCACTCCAATCAAAGTTGTCAAGGAGGCCAAGTTCTTGGGACTAATTTTCGACTCTCATTTAACTTTTTTGCTGCATATCAAATCACTTAAAGGTAAATGCCTGAAGCCCTTGATTTGTTGAAAGTTGTTTCCAACTCAAAGTGGGGAGGAGATCAAACTACCCTCCTCCACCTATATCGATCATTGGTCCACTCTAAACTTGATTATGGCTCCATCATATATGGTGGAGCCTGCAAAAGCAACCTAAAACTATTAGATTCTGTCCACCACCAAGGCTTAAGACTTTGTCTTTTAGAACCTCTCCTATTGATAGTCTCTATGTTGAGGCTGATGAGCCATCCCTTACCAAACGTCGTATCAAATTATCTTTACAGTATATAACAAAACTCTATTCTAACGAGTCTAATCCTGCATTTAACTGTGTTTTCAATCCTCCTTATGGGGATTTGTACAACAAAAAGCCTTCTCTTGTTCCGCCTCTTGGTTTAAGAATTAAACCATTTCTTTCTGCTGCCGGTATTGAGCTGGAAAATATATCTCCTTCCCGTCTTCTTTCTTCTCCTTGGCAACTGGTGAGGCCTGAAGTTGACCTAACTCTGACAAAGTTTAAGCAATCTGAAACTAATGAATTACAGTATAAACAAGAATATAATCAATTAAAAACATCAAACATAATACATACAAATATTTATTTACAGATGGGTCCAAGGACGGTGGCGCAGTGGCATGTGCCACTGTCATTGGATCCAGAAAAATATCTTCTAGAATACCTGATAACAGCTCTATATTTACAGCAGAAGCAAACGCCATCTTAACAGCTCTTAAATATATTCAAAGACATCCTAAACAATATATAATATTTCCCGACTCTCTTTCTTGCCTTCAGGCTATTAAAAATCTATCTTGCAAACATCTACTTTTAATTGAAATAATCGAATTATGTAATGATCTTGCTACTGGCCAATGCGACATCGTCTTCTGTTGGTTACCCAGTCACGTTGGCATTTCTTGGAACACAATGGCCGATCTTGCTGCCAAGGCAGCACTCAACAAATCTGTGACACCGCTTCTTATTCCATACTCTGATTACAAAGCTAGCATTAGAACCTACATCCGTGATCTGATGCAGAAGAAGTGGAACACCCAAGTAGGTATAAATATATTACATGAAATAAAACCTTATACTGGTTACACCTACTTGGGATGTCAATCCAGATTTGTAGAGGTCATTATGCGACGATGTCGCATTGGCCATACTAGATATACTCACGAATATTTACTGAAAGGCGAAGATACTCCGTTTTGCATCCCTGTGATGAAAGAATCACGGTCAAGCATGTCCTGCTTGACTGTTGAATATTCCATCACAAGGGATAAGTATTTTAATGTCAAAACATTGAAGGATCTTTTTTATAATGTTAATTATCATTTAATAGTTGAATTTTTAAAAGAATTAGATTTGTTGACTGATTTGTATATAGCTAAATATTTTATTGTTGGTAGTTTAGATTAGTAGCTGAGATTGTTAGTGGCTGTACCCTCAAAGGGGGTTGAAGTCGCGTAAAATTATTGTCCTCCTGAAAGGGTACGTAAGACCCAAAACTTTCAAAGTAAAATGTAAATTTACCACATTTTAAACGTAGTATCTTTGTTGTTTTAACTGCCGGCTAAATTTTCCTACAATCGCCAGCGGCTGAAGGGATGGTGTAATTCCAGCTAGGGTCCATGCAGGTAGCAAAGTAATGTAAGTCCCCATGGTTCCTAGTATGGTGATCTACCTTCAGTTGTTGGCGATCAATATCCCATTTTTATATTGTATTGTCCAAATATAATTTCTACTTTTAAAGATATATGCTAACTAGTTTTACCTAAATTGTGATAACCTAGTAATTTTACTGTCCTTCGTTGGCAAATTCTCATATATTATATGTATGCATTATGAATTTAGAATTAGTTTTAGTCACGATATGGCTGGAATAATGCCGATGTGACTTTAAATTTTAACTCACTCACTCACTCATATTACCTGTCCCCATGATTTTCGCATAGGGTTCCTACCTGTCCCCACATATATTTCATTTCAATATCAAAAGTTCTCGTCACGATATGGCTGAAATATTGCCGATGTGACGTTAAATATTAACTCACTCACTCACCCCTACCTGTCCCCATGATTTCCTGAACTGTTACATGGGTAATTATGTTGCTAAAATCATTAATCAAATTCACTGCATGAATGAAAGCAGTTTCATTTCACATTCACGTGAAGCAGTATAAAACATTCGTGTCGCATACATGTAAAAACGCCTATCGCATCCTGTCGCACGCATTGGCCTTTGAAGTAATTATGCACTTAATATACAAATTTTGTGATCTGAACAGTTTGCTATCAACAAAAGAAAAGCTTCAGCCTTGCTTTGCATTTTGGAGCAAAATTGCATGTAAAATGTATCTCATCTAATAAGTCGCTCCGTAAGGGAGATGTTTGCAAAAGTACAAACATTTTCCTTCATCATTTCCTTGAAAACCAGCATTTGGACATGATGTGGTAACATTATTAATCAATATATTGTAAAATGAGTTCATTGTGTGCATAGAAAACACTTTTTCAAAAATCTGAATTTTGCACTCATTGACCTTTGACCCCCAATTTGTGACCTAATTAGGCATTTGTGAGCTTAGCACACAACTTATTCATATTCAGCACGAACAACTTCCCCGGAATATGTGGTTTGCTTGATTTTACTCAAAATGCCTCATGCATTCACATTTCTGACAAATTTGACTAGTCTATAAAGACAATTTGATATTTTCATGATCTATAAAGTAGTTCACTTCGGAATCCATATATCCTCATTGAACATTCACCTCACACAATGGCACTCTAGTAGGGCGATGAACAGACCAAAATAGGCCGAATCGTTCACTTTGTGATACAAGCACCAGAATTGGCATGGACATAGAACTCTTGATCCTTAAGCTGATCAGATCATTTAGAGAAGCAAACTTTGCATTTTACTGTGAAACTCTGTCGCACCTGATCCCAGTGTTCTTTGCTAACAACAATGTGAATTATGCACGCTGTCTCACCATTCATCTGAAGGACATGCTTTGCCTAAACCAACTTCATCCAGAAAGTGCTGAAGAATTTAGATGTCCACAAAACCGAAAGTTCTCTGCCACGGCAATTGATCAAGCCTACGAACAGGCCTATGGAGTGATAAAGAAGACCCCCCAGTACTACGATGATGGATAGTAGCAGGCCCTCAAGTCAGCCAGGTTGTTGAAGAATGTAATGAGCAAGCATAAAACGATGACCCAACAATGGAAGAATTGGATCACCACGATGAAAAGAGATACAACAAAAAGAAGTTCATCGAAAAAGTTCACAACCTGACCAGAGCCATAGAAGATATAGGCAGTCCATTCACCGAGGAATCTTGTCATTTGATGACATTGGACACAAAATGTGTTCCTCAGTAAAAGGTCTAGCTACTCATTAGGGGTGGATATTGCAGAGAATTTTCATATTGCACTATATTGCGATGCGAAAGCATGTATTGCGATATGTATTGCAATATATTGCGTGAAGTATTTTTACACAAAAAACTGCTTATACTCGGGGTAATGCTTGATTTATAGAGCAAATACACAGCCAAATCACTATGCTTGATTAAGCTTTAATAACAACTTTTATTCATGATTAAAAATAAAAATGTGAATAATATTTGGTACAAATGAAAAAGGAAATATCCGACGATTTCCGAGTGTTGCGAAGTTTTGCGAAGTTTTCCGAATGCAAGTCAATATACCAGTTTTCGATCAGCGTATCGCAATACGTATCGTTTTCATGTCTGAACCGGTAAATACCGGTAAACCGGTTATATTGCGCAGCCCTACTACTCATCATGAAACAGGAAAACACCAGTTTAAAGTGTTCAGCTAGATTACAAACTGACAACCAAGGTTTATTCTGTCAACCAATAGGAAAAACCAAATTGACTTGTTCAATCTGCAAGGTGCCAAAGCATGAGAAAGCAGTGAAAGAAGACTGTCAACTGTTCTCGCTGTTGTTTATATCTTGCCAGAGTAGACAGTGTGACTTACAACACTTTTTCGAACACGAGATTCAACCCGTTCCATTTTCCCTGCGTGATAATGGAGAGCTTCACAGTTGTCAGAAATTACAACTGATAGAGATCCTGCAATCTGATGTAGATGTACCACAAATACAACCATCATAAATTAGATGGATATGTCCTCGCCAATGCTCACCCTCATCGTGTATGCAAGTCATTTAATGAGTATGCCTTAACAATCCCATCATCGAGACATATGCAATGACATATAAAAGAACAGATGTCATTTTTGATCTGTACCTCTCGCCCAGTCTCAAAGCAGAAAACATCCCAAACTCAATCCCAGAAGACGATTACACAATTGGACACAGAAGGTGTTTTAGTCGATCGTTCTGAGCTTTTATTCCTCGGTGATCTTCAGATGACCTATCATGATATGCATATTTCATGATAAAAACAAAATCAGTACATGCGTCGACATTTAGCGAAGACAGAAATTGAAACACTTATGGCTTTTTAGTCGTGGGAAATAAGAAACTTTATATTCCCATGTCTATGTCAGCTTACGAAAATGTTCCATGTGTGAATTTCCGATCGGACCATCTATGTCACTGCCCACGTTCAGAGATTTGGGATCCAGAACAATATCTTCTCGATTACCAAATAACAGCTCTATTTTCACAGCAGAAGCTAATGCCATCTTAACAGCTCTTAAATATATTAATAAACACCGTAAATATACACAATATATCATCTTTTCCGATTCTCTTTCGTGTCTTCAGGCTATTAAAAATCTTTCTTGTAAACATCCACTTTTATTAGAAATTATTGAATTGTACAGTGAACTTGCTACTGGCCAATGCGACATCGTCTTTTGTTGGTTACCCAGCCACGTTGGCATTTCTGGGAATACAATGGCTGATCTTGCTGCCAAGGCAGCACTCAACAAATCTGTGACACCGCTTCTTATTCCATACTCTGATTACAAAGCTAGCATTAGAACCTACATCCGTGATCTGATGCAGAAGAAGTGGGACACCCAAGTGGGTATTAATACATTACATGAAATACATCCTTACATTGGTTACACCTACTTGGGTTGTCAGTCCAGATTTGAAGAGGTCATCATACGACGATGTCGTATTGGCCACACAAGATATACACATGAATACTTGCTTAAAGGTGAGGATCCTCCGTTTTGTATCCCGTGTGATGACAGAATCACGGTCAAGCTTGTCTTGCTTGACTGCATTGAATATTCCATCACAAGGGATAACTATATCAAACCACGAACTATGAAGGATCTTTTTACTAATGTCAGTTCTCATTTAATTATTGCATTTTTTAAAGAATTAGATGATAACTAATTTGTAAATAGATAAATATTTTATGATTGGAAGTTTAAATTAATACCTTAGATTCTTTGTGGCTGTATCCTCAAGTGGGGTTGAAGTATTGTAAAAATATTGTCCTCCTGAGAGGGTACGTAAGTCCCAAAATTTTCAAAGTCAATTTAAACTTGCCAGGATTTTTAAAAGTAGCATTCTTGTGATTTTAATTTTGGCTAACAGTTCTTACAATCGCCAGGAGCTGAAGGGATGGTGTAAATCCAACTAGAGTCCATGCAGGTAGCAAAGGTACTGTATGTAAGTCCCCATGGTCCCTGGTATGGTGATCTACCTTCTGATGTTGGCGATCTATAGCCTGTTTTTATATTGTATTGTCCAAATAATGTTATCAGTTTTAACTCTCCACACTAGTTTTAGTTGTAACTGTGATATTTTAGTTGTTTTACTGTCCTTCGTCGACAAGTTTTTATAACGTACATATATTCCATTTCAATGTCAAATGTTCTCATTTCACTTTTGATTGTATAAATTGTTTTCGTCACGATATGGCTGATATATTGCTGATGTGACGTTAAATATTAACTCACTCACTCACTCACTCAGAGATTTGGACACAGAATGCGTTAATTTTGATCGTTCTGAGTTGTTTTATTTCTGTCTGACCTTCAGATGACGTTTCATAGCATGTATAGTTCATGACCCCATATACTGACTTTATTTCAAAGGTAAAACCTGAAACGTAATATTCATGTCTGTTTGGCTACATATACTATTCACATGTGTGGTCGAGGGTCGAAAGAGAAATCCTGTCACAGAAAACTCCAGAATAATTGTGCTTCACGTTTTTGAGTAAAGGAATTGTCAGCCACTAGAACTGTTGTTGCAAAATGTCATTATATAAAAGATATTTAGATTTAGGCTCATGGTTTTATTTTAAACAATATATCTGGTTTTTCGGATGTAGCTTAAAAACAGTCCCAGTGGGTAAACCGCCGCCATATAGATGGAATATTGCTGAGTGCGGCGTTAAAACAACGAACCAACCTTCCCCACCCAATCCACCCCATAGTATCAAATGGTTGGTCCCTTATGAATATAATGTATCGTATAAATTAATTAACGATTTCTTCCCTGGCAACACTCGGCTCTTTCAGATCGCTACCAGCGTACGTTAAGGCACAGCAATATACATCATGATGTTTTCCTTAAAGGGTGTATATACATCATTAGTACCAGCTGTCATAATTTTGACATATGCAACCAACGTCCTGACTCTGTGTTCTAACAACAGATACATCGAGGACACTTACCTCGCTCATGATGTGTACGACAGCTTCGCCAGCCCCTCTCTGATGGACTGCGTTGCAAGATGTTACACTCATTCCCAGTGTCAGTCAGTTGGGTTCGAACCAGAAACGCTGAAGTGTCATCGTCACACCCAAAACAGTACCCTCGCCCCTAATGACCTCATCGTTCTCCCCGGCTGGGTACATAGTGACAAGAACGTGTGGCCAGAGGTGAGTAAAAATGGAAGAGTAATTGGTTCAATTTCCGGAGTGTAAACTATCGCTAAGGTCGGTGTGTATGTAGCCCGTTTAGCGATATCCTCTGCGATAACTATCACATCCTTCAAGAATCTAATGAAAGAACTGACAGCGCGTTGCCCTGCAAGCCGGCTTATAATGTGTTTGTTTGGTGCATAACTATTTCGTTCGACGATGAGATGGTCTAAGGACTCATTTGTGTGTGCGTGCGTGCGTGCGTGTGCGTGCAAAGCGTCTTTTCATGACGTCAATATAAACAGCTTTGCAATACTATGTGCCAACATTACTACCTTGTCCTGTATTGTCAAATATTTTCAGGCTTCGCAGTTCTCGTTTCTTTTCCTCGTTCTATTTCACTAGTATTGGACCATTTTACATATATATTTTCCTCACATATACATACAGAGTTGTTACAATGTAATATTGCCCCTTAAACAGTAAAGAGACGGGTTTCAGCAGTCCATGTTTGTTGTTAGAGGCGACTAACCGGATGGGTGGTCAGGGTCGCTGACTTAGTTGGTGCATATCATTGTATTTCCATTGAGTAGATCGATGCTTATATTGTCAGCCACTCGATCACTTTCAGACCCCGTCAAATAGCTGGAAAAGTGCTGAGTGCGGGTTGGAAAAAGGATACACCAACAAACTATAAAACGAGTCAGTTGTTTGTTCCGTATGAAGGGTTGACAATGATTTACACTGGTACATAGAAACTCCGTTTCTGTGGATTAACTATCCAAGTTGAACCATTTTGGTCGTGTCTTATATGCACGAAGGCTTTACATGAGTATCTAATATTTGAGTGAGTGAGTGAGTAAATATTTAACGTCACATGGGCAATATCTCAGCCATATCGTGACGAAAACATTTTATACAAGAAAAAGTGAAAACATTTCGACGATTAAAACCTGTCGACGATGGACAGTAAAAATACCAGAGAATCACAGATATGAATATAAAACTAGCAAGCAAAGCTAAACCATTCCAATTAAAGAAGACAATACTGTATAAAACACGGGCTATAGATCGCCAACAACTGAAGGTAGATCACCATACTAGGAACCATGGGGACTTACATTACTGTTGCTACCTGCATGGACCCTAGCTGGATTTACATCATCCCTTCGAATTCATCTGCTGGCGATTGTAGGAAAATATAGCCGACAGTTAAAACAACAAAAATACTACGTTTAAAATGTGGTAAATATATATTTTACTTTGAAAGTTTTGGGACTTACATACACTCCAAGGAAGACAATAATTTTACTGTACTTTAACGCCCTTTGAGGGTACAGCCACTAACAATCAAAGTTACAAATCTAAACTACTAATCTTTAAAATATATCTATTTACAAAACACATTAATGAGAATTCATCAAATAAATCAATTTCTTTTCAAAAACCAATAATTAAATGAAAATTAACATTAACATTTGTAAAAAGATTCTTAACGGTTTTCACATTGAAATATTTATCCCTTATGATGGAGAATTCAACACAGTGAAGCAGGACATGCTTGACTGTGACTCTCTCATCACAAGGGATACAAAACGAAGCATCTTCACCTTTTAACAGATATTTGTGAGTATAACGCGTATGGCCAATGCGACAGCGTCGCATAATGACATCCTCACATCTGGACTGACAATCCAAGTAGGTGTAACCAATATAAGGTTTTATTTTATGTATTTTATTGATACCTACCTGGGTGTCCCACTTCTGCATCAGATCACGGATGTAGGTTCTAATGCTAGTTTTGTAATCAGAGTATGGAATAAGAAGCGGTGTCACAGATTTGTTGAGTGCTGCCTTGGCAGCAAGATCGGCCATTGTGTTCCAAGAAATGCCAACGTGACTGGGTAACCAACAGAAGACGATGTCGCATTGGCCAGTAGCAAGATCATTATATAATTCAATAATTTCGATTAAAAGTGGATGTTTACAAGAAAGATTTTTAATAGCCTGATTTGTCTATATTTACGGTGTTTAAGAGCTGTTAATATAGCGTTTGCTTCTGCTGT